CTGGCCAGTTACATGGGAACTGTTCGGGGGTCCGATCCACAGAGCATTGTAACAGCCTGCTGTGCCGGGTACAGGCATCCAGCCACGTGCCAGCCCAGCCCCTGGTGGGGATGCCGAGCGGCCGTGGTCAATAACGGTTAGCTCTACTGTGGGCCGAATCCTGTACTTATAGCTCCCAGGAGCAGGCCCCATGCCCAGTAACAGCTGTAATATGTGCGGGGCCCTGCTTGGGGCACTGGGGGGCGGGTCACCAAGTGTGAGCATCTCTGTTAATGCACTGAATGGCTCAGGGGTCAGAATGGACCAGCTGGCTCAGGGGCACAGGGAGGGCAGCTGGGGCCTTTCACTCCCCAGTCACCGATCTCAGCCCAGGCTCAGAGTCCGGTTCCCAGCAGACAGGAGCTCACAGCGTAACTCACATTAACGGCAGCCTCACCGGCACCTCCGCAGGGAGGGCAAGGCCAGAACGGGCCTCAGGGACGATTCCTCCCCAGGGAGAGGTTCCAGCAGGTGTTAGAGCTGAGCCACGTTGGCAGGACAGTGGGGGGCTCACACGGCTGCTGTGACGTCTTCGTACCCTCAATACACAGAGCTCCAGCAGCCGGGGTGTAAACCCCACTCGTACCCCCAAGACTGAACTCACTGACACTGCCCCAAGCCCCCTCTCCTCCTGGGGTGGGAGTGGGTGAGTACCAGCCCCGCCCCCTCATCCCACGAGCACATCTGTGCATTTGCTGGGTGCACAGAGGTCTCTGGGTGGAGACACTTTCACACTGACCCAGGAATTGGTACTGGGCGCCCCACTGCCCAGGAGGCCGAGGGCTCTCGCTCTCCTGCCCTGGGGGGGTGAAGAGAGGGGCCCTGGGGCTGCTGTTCCCCGTCCCACAAATGTGGCGAAGGGGACATGCACACAGACAATGTCCCTGCTTGCGCTGTGAGGGGCAGACCTGGCTCCACCCTGGGTTTCAGAGCCTGAGCTCCAGTGTGAGCCTGAATGTCTACGTGGCTATTTTTACTGCCACAGAGGGCGCCCCGCAAGCCTGAATCTGTCGACCTGGCTCTGGGACTCGCTGCTGCAGGCTGTATAGACAAACTCAAAGTGTCTCCAGGGTCTGGGTGTGAAAGTTCCCAAAGGGTCTGACCGAGAGCTGGCTAATGAGAGAGAGGCGGGTGGCGGAGGAAAGTAGTTACGTGGAGAAGTCTGAGGAAATGTGACCAATATCTGCTCTGTGAGATGTTCAGGTTCATCTGCAGGGGGTCTGTGCTGCTCGCAGCGTCCATGGAACAAATCACTCTGGGCAGAGAGTTCAACCTGGAACCAAGTCTCCATTTTCACCCTGAGTTTGTGGGGTGAGATCAGGGGTGCAGGGGGAATTTTTCTACCAAGGGCAAATTTAACAGCAGTTCTGGAGAGTTTCATAGCTGATGTCCTGAGCCTGGCCTGCCCGTAAGTTTCTGGGGATATTGACAGTCACTCACTAGGATTTGGGCTCCTAAGTTGCTCTGACAGGTTTGAAGTGGAGCTGGATGAAATGTTTTGGGTTGATTGAATCCATGTTGAGTTCGCTGAATAGTTTCAATGAACAAACAAAGGTGCCAGCACTTTCCTTTTAGCCTTTAGCCCAGTGGCTTGGCCCTCAGCTGGGATCCCCAGGTTCAATCATCCCCGTGTGATGTGGGGCAGGAATTGGAATGTGGGTCTCCCCACCTCAGATAAGGGCTGGAACTGCCGGGCTCCGGTTGTCTGATATGGGGCTCCCACAATCTCTCCTGCTGATGACATCCCCCTGTGTCTAAACACTGCCAAGGGCACTGGGCCAGAGCCTGGGAGTGAGAATGACTCTGCAGCCCAGGGGGTCAGGCCCCCACCTGGGAGCCCAGAGTCCAGCTCCCCTGCTCCAGTGACTCTGTAATTATTGATCCATAACCCCAGTGAGAAGAGGGGTTACGGCCCCTGACACAGCAGCATCTCAGGTCGTGTCTGCCGGGGTTTTCATTCAGTGATAAAGCTGCCCTGGTGCAAGCCCCTAGTGCAGACGTGCCTCGCAGCACCCGGTGCAGCTTATCTCCGATGGAGGGTTGTCCTTCCCGATTGTCCCGGACTCAAGAGCAACAGCCAAATAATTTCTCATTTACCCCGTCCCGGAATCCCCCACTGCACTGCCCCCTCCTAGTGAGCCCAGCCCAGACACACTGCCCGTGCCCTGGGGGAGGGGCTGGGCCGGGGGAGGGGAGGGGGTTGTCTGCCTGCAAGCTGGAAGAGTCCCAGCTTCACCCCCTTGGGCAGGGCTGCCCGGCCAGTGTGTGTAGGGACGGCACAGACCTGATCTTAGCGACAAACCAACCACACATGGCCCGAAAGCAACAGAGACTCCCTGGGGCCTGCCTCTCCCTCACCCCTCTCTGGCTCCTGACCCTCCCATACCCTTTCCTCAATCCTGTGCCCACCTGGCCCCTGCCCCTTCGCACCTCCCCTTCTCACCCCCTTTCTGCTCCCCTAGGCCCCTCTGCCCCCGCTTTGCCTCCCTGACTCGTGCCCCTGCCCTCCACCCACCTCTGCCCCACTGGATCCCCCATTTGCCCCCTGCCCTCCTTGCATCTGTCCCTCGTCCCCAAACAGCCTCTGCATCCTGGAGCCCACCCATCACTTCACCCCCCTTCTACCACCTGGCATCCTCCTCTCCCCTTTCGCCCCTGCTGCCCATCTTCTCCCCTGGTGCCACCCCACCCCTCACCTTCCTCTGCTATCCTGATTCCTACCATTCTCCTCCCCTCAGCCCTCTCTGACCCCTGGCACCCCCCCCTCCCCTCCCCCCCCCTGCCCTGCCTCTCTCCTCGCCCCTCTCTGCCCCCTGGTGCCCACCCCTCCCATTGCCCCCCACTCTGCCCCCTGGTGCCC